GACCTACCTGCCAGTTTGAAAGAAATCGGCCAAGCCAAACAAATCACAGAAGAAATCATACGTGAAAACACTGGAAATCACACACACACACACAAAACGACAAAAGTTATTATAAGGGCAATCCTAGCAGAGCGGATCGCCAACAAAACGAAAAAGTGATTATAAGGGCAATCCTAGGAAAGTGGATCGCCAACAAAAGTGATTATAAGGGCAATCCTAGCAGAGCAGATCCCCAATACATTCCCATATATGTCATTGTTTGGGCTTATGTTCAAAGTACCGAATGGAAATTAAAACTAACTGTTGTTTTACCACACATGGTAACCCTGACACCCCACGAGTGTTCTGACGCTATTTTATATAAGAGGTCTTCCCATATAGTGAACGATTAATCAATATGATTGTGTTAAGTTCTACCAGCGAATCTTAGTCAGTCTGAGAGAGATCTCCACGAGGCAAGGTGAGTCTTGATAGGGCTCCAAGCGAAAGAGTCCCCCCCCCCCCGAGGCATTCTGTCTTGGAGATTCTTGATGGGTGACTGAGACGAGAAGTTGACACGTATTCTTGATCTATGTGCGTCTTTGTTTGGTAAAAGGTTGCGCGAACGTTACGATCCCTGTTACCTGGCGTGAGGTTTAATAAAAAAATAATTAACCACATCATATTAACAGTGTAATATATATATTTCAATTTCTCCAAACAGGTTATCAAACACAAGCTTAGTTGGATATAGTCTGATATTGATCTGATCTCAGCAAAAGTTCCAGTGAATGACCAACATGTTAAGTGTACAAAGTCTGTTTAATGATAAGGACCATTACAGTAAATGTAGACATTCTTTCCTGCCACTTGCGAAATATTTCACAGAACGAATGCCTCGGTGGTGTCAACACGTCTTCCCCGGTATCATAAAAAATATCATTTTGTTAGCCGAAGAAGAGAAGAAGAATGGATGTGAGAAGAGGGAATGTCACAGTGTTTGTAGTGTCCTCAGCATTGGGGGTGGTTCTGGTGAAGTTGATCGAATGATGCTGCAACAACTTCAGGGTATGTTTTCCAATATTAAATATTCTGTGGTTGAGCCATCTCTACAAGAAATAGAGAAATTTCGTAATTTGGTTGAAGGAGACACACACCTATTAAAGACAGCATTTGATTGGCACATGAAAACCTTTGATGAATTCATCGAATGCATGAAAGTCAGCCCCAGAGACAGTTTTAACTTCATTCACATCATTGAAGCCATTTATTACATGCCGTATGATGGCGCAATTCAAGAGATGTACAATATTCTTGCGTTGGGTGGAATATTATTGATCATAGTTACTGCCGATGGAAGTGGCTATCACAATCTCTGGAAGCGGCATAGATCCATTCTTCAGGATGATCGGATGAATTTCATCACTTCGGCTGATGTCAAAAAAGAACTAAGAATGAAGAACATTCCTTTTATGAGTATCCGTGATGAATCACGAGTGGACATTTCAGAAGTATTCGTTGATAATTCGGATGTTGGGGATCGCATCCTAGACTTTTTAACTCATATATGCAATTTTCGGCAGACGGTCCCAAAGAATATTCGAGATGATTTAATTCAATTATTAAAAAGTGAGCAGTGCTGTGAAACCTTGGATGGAAGAAAGATGTTCAACAACAGTTCTGATGCGATTATTGTTCAAAAGCAGGGTTAAAATTACATGATAATAGGGTTAGAGCCCAAATATAATAAATATAAGATTTCAAGTAGAATTGCACTTGTATCTGAGATGAAAGAATGTTAGAAATAATCTCGTTAGGTACTAGTGAAAGTTATCCCTTTACTCTTTAGTTAATTTAAATTACTTGAATTTAAGTTCATGTTAAATTTCATTTAATTAAATTTATTTTACTATATGTTGGGTAATTAAATTTGAACTAAACAAAAAATAAATTGCATTCATATATAGGATTTTAGAAATTGATTTGATTTTAATTGAAATTAAATTGTATTTGTGTATAGAATTTTTGCCCACATATTCACATAATCAATTAAATGTCGTTGATAAGGCAAGACAAATATATTATGCTAGTGAAGTGCCAGTATAAACTCTAATATGGCATATTATAGGTGTGAATTAACTATTTTCATACACATTTATGTATTAAATGACATCAGTACAAACAGTGAACTTGAATATTTAACTTCCATGTTGGATTCAGCTTTAGCAGTTTCGAGTTTTGATTTCATAAGAGCTAAAATGTTGAACTATAAATAAAATAAAAATATAATAAGTGATGAACGTGTCAAAAGTGATATTGCAATCAAAGATGGCAGCGTCTAAGAGACCAGAAGCAACAATGATGATTTAAAAAATAACCAAGAGGTAAAGGTTTAATTATATCAACTCAATGAAAGACGCATCCATCTGCACAACCAACACATACAGCCAATGCATCAGCCAGTATAATTAAGCAAAGTTGCAATCTACCAAAGCTTCACATGACATAACACATGTCAGTTTCACACCTACGTCCGGTCCTGTAATACTGAAACATCGATAAGCTTTGTGCCAGGATGACAATTCAAGACAGTTTTGAGGACTGATTATTGTCGTTTATTACCGAACTGTTAGAATTACCGAATAGTGTGGAGCAGTATTTTTAGTCTTTAGTATTTGATTGTTATTCAAAACTACTCGTTATTTGAAGTTATTTCCTATTTACTGTTACTCTTTATTCCTTAATCAAAGCTGTTTGGTATTCAATACATTCAGGCATCGATAATTTCACTTTCAGTTGTTAATTTTTGAAACAATTTTGATTACCAAAAAGCACAACGAACTTTCCAGTTCGGAGAAACTTTAAGCTTTAGACTGATAGTTACCCACTCTTCTTGGGACATGAAGAACCTTTTATATTTTTTAACAGGGTTATCGAAATTGTTAGTATGATGGCTCGGGGGTACAATGCAATTGTTGTCTACTTAGACGATTTCTTCATAGCAGAGTCTTGTACGTTGTGTGTATTGGCTTCGCAAACTCGGATTTCATATTGCTCGGGTAAAGTGGCAGGTCCCTTCTAAAAACTTACCTTCCTGGAGATAAACATCAGCACATTACACCAAATGCTTCAGCTGCTGCCGCCCAAACTTGTTTTACACACTGCTAGATTTTTCCGAAACACTAGCCGTCACCAACTGTAATGCCTTGCTGACATGCTTGGGTTTGCTGTGTCATCAAAAGGGGTAGGACTTTCCTCCATCATGTGCTTGATTTACATTCACTCACTCCAAAACAAACGAGATTTTCAGCTTGATACTAACTGGTGGCTTAATTACCTTACATATGTTAATTAATTGACAGTCGGGCAAATACCGTTGAGCACATAGATCTACTGAGTTATTTTCTACAGGGGTGACAATACAATGGCGCCTTGACTGGTCAGAAACGTCTACTTTGCATATAAACCACAATTAATTGCTCCTTGTGGTTCTTGCAATATTGAATAAATTAGTGACGTGTTTTTAACGCGAGCTGTTCTGCTAATATTAACATATGAGCTATTCATGTGCCAGGCAAGCTTAATCATATCCCAGATGCCACCTCGTTGTTTACAACAGTCAGGACAGTATGCTTGGTTATGTGTTCTGCTTGTTCAACATCCAAGCTGTGCCACCCATTATGCTTTGGAAAGGTTGGAACAAAAACTTGGAAATCATCAGCTATAGGGGAAACACCTTTGTAACCTTAACTAAATCAACATGTGCTTTCCATCGCCATATGTCAACCTTTTGTAGTAATGTATCTTGAGTAAAGTGTATTTCAACTAAATCAAGTACATCTTCCGACATGTGCATATAACGCCTTTCTTATCCTCGGGGGCGGAGCTTCGTCACGGACGTTCTACGTTGCTAAGACGCGCACCACTGTACCACGTATTTCTATGGGCTTTGTGCGCGCTGCTGTGGAACGCCGGTGGAGCCGGTGAAAACTCGAGAAAACAACACAAACTCAACTATGAAGTAATCCTGAACAACCAAATTCATATATGTTACACACGTAGGACTCTCATCAACCATCGCAAAGTACCGTTTTCTGCGAGTTTTTGGTCTTTCTTTTCACCGCGAGGGTTACCAGGCGTTAGAAAATGCCCAGATGTCCGCCCCGAGGATACCAACTTAGTAGATTGTGCGATTACAGCTTACTTACAAACATGACATATACAACAGACAGACAGAAAACTCTAATAAGCTTGAAACACAATTATCTCTATGTTTTCACCAGTTCGCTGTCATGGTAACGTACTTAACGTATTTAGTTCATCCATATATATTGCGCTCAATAGCAAACAAAATGTGTGGCATATTTCTTTTCTTCAGATAAGTGCTCGTGTCATCTGTTTATAAATCTAAGTAGATGCGGTACACCATTACTATTTGTAAACATTATATTTTCAGGGTAACGTACATTTCAACACAAAATATATGAATCCAGTTGTATCACTTTCAATAACTTTAGTTCCCGGAGCTAATTTGCTAACACGTATTTATCACATTCGACACACATGTTGGGTAACCAGAATATGACTTAGGACATTAGTCATATTTTTACATCATAATGTATTTCACCAGCAGACAATGAAAGTGTATGGTGACGTACTTTTCCCAAAAATCTTAGGAATGCGATATCGCTATTAATAACAAAATGGGTTTGCAATATCACAGTAAATACAATACTATTTCCCGTATTCTGATTGGCCATAAATATATCCCAAACCATCGTGTTGAATGACACCTTGGTGTTTAGGTGTATGCTACGTAAAGTCATTTCACGTTACATTGAAAAAGAGAGCAAATGCTTTAATTGCAACAACATTGTCTGTTGACATAAGAAGTAGCCAATACTGGCAACTGCTGATTCTTAAGATTTTGAGAGCAACTTTTTATACTTACTCATTATTGTAATTATCTTTTTTTTTTGGTGTGCTCAATGAGCTCGTTCTCGGTCCTCAATAATAAATAATTATTATGAGCACTTGAGATCAGATACACCGGAATACTATTCTGCAAATCAGAAAATAAGAGCTACTCGGAAAAGAAATACGATGAAGCTGGGATTACGAAAATTACAGCGAAATCTGAGCAGGACTTAGCCAATTTATATTGTCCAACAGAATACAAGATTATTTTATTTTCCTCCAACTGACACAGTAGTAATTGCAAGATCAGCATATATTAGCAGGCAAGGGGGTACATTTGCATATGGATACATACACCGTATGATTGTTGAAATCAGGGGCGTCGATCATGGGGGGACAGGGGGGACACGCCCCCCACTTTCTGAAGGGCGGGGACACAATCAATAATAGGCTCAATATCAAAGCCTGCGTTTGTGTAAGGCCTATGGTTCTGTGTGCATGTACAGTAACTGTATTCTTAGTGATCAAGAATGAAAATCCCCAAGTATGCACCAAATGACTTCATTTTGGTCATATATTCCGACAACCCTATGTTGAGGTTCTGACACCTACGAAATGTTAGAAACGTTTTTGACATTTCACTGAGTTTTTATCTCTCTACTATAAGAAAAAATATCATTATTCTTCTTCAAAAATTATTTTTCTTAATTATTGCCAAACTTTCAGATCAACAATAAACTATGTACCTGACAGTTTTTATGTGGGCTCTTGACAATTTGTACTCGGGGAGACCTAAATTACATTGTTTAGTACTTTTATGTTCGACGATCATCCAATAAATTCTGAGCTGGTCAGAATGTGCCATATTTTCAATGGAAATATGTACGCTAGTGGTCGGAAGCCAAAATTGGATAAATACCCCTTCTCATGGTAGAACAAAGCAACATGTTTTTTCTCTGTTCAGCGCGATCAGTCTAGTTATAGAATACTGACTGTGCAATTAAAATTAAGACAAGGCTGTCAAATTTATATGCCATAAAATAGACAGAAACATGGGAATTTATTTGGTCAATTTTGGCTATAGAATCTGAGCCGTTTTGCCCCCGAAAATCAGGGTAAATATGTTAGCTTTAAAAAATTATACACAGCGTCAAATAAAAAAGGAATTTTATAGGATCAACATTATACAATGATATAATTACGTAACAGCCTGTCACATATTAAATAGGAATACCTCAAACAAACACCATCATTTTATATATCAAATTAAAGCTATATTGGTGTATTACGTTGTATTACGTTGGATATCACAACGTATAATCCATTACTTATTGACATTATGAATCCATTAACTTTATTATACGTTATTCAAAATCATCAAATGGCATTTCCTGGGCAAATCCTGTCTATGATAAAATGAATTAGTCATGACATATTCATGTCGGAACATAGTGGTGTCGGATCATAGAGATGTCGGAACATAGGGCAGTCCCCCCTTCTCAGACACCCCCCCCCCCCCGTTCGCGCAAGCGCGGACATTGGCCGCTTACGCGGACACAAAAGTGTCCCCCTCACTTTTCAGAATGGATCGACGCCCCTGGTTGAAATACATATTTTTTATGCGCTGTCAAATACTAGTACGTAATATAATTTCGAAATACGTGCCCATTTCGTCACCGAGATCTCGTTGAGAGCGCGAGAGTCACTATTCTAAATACCATGATTACGTTAGGTCAGATCTCGGCGACCTTTTGCATCGAATTCTTATTCTCTGTCTTAACCAACATACAACACAGAGTACATATGTTACGAAAATGCTCAATGTTTTTACATACGGAACAGATGAAACAAAACACATATGCTGGTTATTTCTTCTTTCTTGTTCTTATTCCTCCTTGGCCTTGAACATATCAACAGCAGCACCACGAAACTTTTTGTTGTGCAGGAAGTACAGTCCAGAATTGAGGATCGGTGTGGTCTTGGCTAGAATGGGAGCCAGTACTGTCAGCATCTTCGGCAACGTTTCAACATCATCGGCAACTACTGTCCACATGCAATTGAAGCCATATAGACTCCAACAAAATACAAGTTGCAACACGCACAATCTCGATATCTGGAAGAAAACATTCATTAGAGTGTTATTCACCGGTCGCAACGTGCGAACGCTGCAATCAACAACGTGTGGTCCAGTGGATAATGGGGCAGTGTCGATCTTTAATCTTTTAAGGACAGCCGAAATAGTGCCAGCGTGAGATTGTGAGATAATGCCAGCGAATGTTATTTTTTGCTCGTGGAGAGGTCGTGGTAAACGAAGTTGGCCACTTCAATCAATTTCCATGTACATGTTGGCGTTTTAAATATATCTAAACACGTTTTAAAAGCGGCAGTCGCACATCGCGTTCGAATTCCATGGAAACAATATATTTAACACGCGTTGTGAACATCGCATGAGACCCATATCGAACGCGAAGCGATGCGACGAATGTGACGTAGTGCAGCACCTGTCTCAGCTTACCTTGGTGGCGTTATTTTCGTGTGCCCACTCAGTCACTTTTCCAGTATATTTGATGTTCTTGGACGCTTTAACATAGCAGTATACCATGACAACGATGGGAACCACGTAACACGTCAAAGTTAGGCAAGTAATGTACGTGACGTAACTAAAGTCGTTTGTCATATAATCAATACTACATGAGGCCATGGAAGGTTCCATGGCATACCGTGACCAGCCAAATACAGGCGCGGCCGCCCAGAACAGCGCCACCATCCATCCAAGCGCTGTCATCCGCGTGTAGTACTTGGATTTCAATTCCACTGAAATAGTAGGAAAGCCATTAATGGATTATGAACGCCAGTGAACGAAAACATAAATTATTTTAATTTTAATATATTTTACATAATTAGTACTGATGCTCACTGTAATAGAATATAGCAATTGATGATACGTGCCCTCTAGCGACGAAGCGAATCTATGACGTCAAAATTACGTTGAAGGGGAGCAATGGCGCTCGAAGCAATAACTGTGATTGGTGCAGCAAAGAAGAGTGTAGCATGATATAGCTGGCATGATTGTTTTTTCAAATAACGGTCGATTTTTGAATAACACTACCGTGTCGCCAGAGGGCGCCACTTATTGGAAAGGTACTGGAGAAGGGGCGATAAAATCGGGAATTTCGCCGAATAGTCGGTTGTATGTTCGTATCTTATCGTATTTATCACTGCTCCAGAAATGAGCTATTCCATGTTTCAGAATAAAGGTGATTCAGTGATTGACGTCACTTTAATATTATAAACTCACCTTCTACGGGAGAACACGTTGCCCAGTAACGGTCCAAACTGATGAAGGTTACCATGAAGATGTTGACAAGTCCAAAGAATATACCGAAAAACGCATACAGTTGGCACGCTGTGTCTCCGAATATCCAAAATCCAGCATGGTGACTGAAGGCGGAGAAGGGCGTTTCGAATATACACACACCTATGTACACATTAATAGACAAATCAGAAAGGGAATTGATCAAGATTCATAAAACCAGGAGGAATTCACAAAGCAATGTTGATTTACGATTCCCGGTTTCTATGGTTACGCAAATACGCGAAATTTCGAAATTCAAAAAGGAAAACTCACACAAGTCAGTGACTGCTAGTGACAAAAAAAAATTCCCAGCTTTACTGCAGTAATCCGGATTAGACAACAGCATACGGAAATTCACAGAGCTGAGCACAGTCCCTATTACAGCTGAGGAAATGAACATATTGTAATATTATTATTATGCTAATGATCCCCATTTAAAGACCAGGCTGGTAGTCCCTGGGGTTATATAATATATTCTCAAAAAAATATCTTATTATTCAAGTAGAGTGTTATACGCGAGTTTTCACTTGTGTGCAGATTTTAGCGCATATAAAAGTGAGAATATTTCGTGTCAAAATCTGTCTACAATTACTCGCTTTAGTACGAAAAACAGTAAAATAATAAACATAAAATGGCATTTTAGCAGCGGTTTCCATTAGACCACAATGAAAACACAATTCCTCCTTAAAACCCACTAAAAATATTGTCAATATTTTAATACATTCAGACATCGAAAAGTACACTGTAAAAAAGTGTATATGTGTTTTTTTCACTACATGTCACCAGGCAAAATTCCGAGATACTGAAATGTATTCTCGCCACAGGAAACAATAGTAAATGCTCTAAAATAGACAAAACATGCCATTTTCATTGTATTGTAATTATGGCCTTTCTCTGAACTGAGAAAGGTGGCCCCATATTTTTATTTTATTTTCTCAACCCTTGTAACATGATAGATCAAATATGTAAAAATAGAGAAATGACAATATTTTAACTTTTGTGTAGCATTCTACCTTAATCATGAATCATAAAATGTTCAAGTTATGGATAGCCTGGTCGTTATAACAACATATCCTTGATCGTCAGGGTTGAACCCATGAGGGGGTGCTTGCATGGGTGATATGCAAACACATATATCACGGGATAGATTTGTGCACGTGTACCTCCGCCGATCAGCCTGTGTAAATTATGTTATCGTAGATGGCGTAAGCAATGTCACGTGACAAAGGTATTCGCATCCGTCAGAAAATAAAACGTACGTGTTACATAATTGTGCCTAAAATAGATCACGGATCTGTCTCCCCTAACACAATGACATCGTTGTCCGATTCAAATTAAGGGAGGGAACCTTGGCTTGCGAAGATGAATGACAATGTAAACCGTACATGTAAACATCGTGGCCATACTTGTGAGGTGTTAGTAAACCGTGCTTGATGTTCGAAATTCAATGAATATAGAAAACATTATCGACACATGTAGTGTGGTTTACAACATGGAAACACGGTTACTATTTTAGTAACCGTGATGGAAACTGTGGTCATTTCACGTGCATGCACGGTACATGGGCGTGGCCATATAGGCCATGTTTATACGTACCCAAGGCAAGCAGTGTGACGCTTGCGGCGTAGTGCTGTTGTAACGTCAGAATACTGGGTACAGGTTCGTCGGTGCTGTTTGCTAAGCTGTCGGTAGTCACCATACTATACGCCAGGTGTGTTGAACACTTGCACTTCGGAGTACTGCTAGAGCGGTTAACTGCGTCAATGGACTCAGCAATGGAGACGGTCTATTACGTGAGCATTAGGGACAAAGAATTCCGTCTTCTAGACGATTACCGCTAAGAAGAGACTACTAGAGATTGTGTAGGCAACATAAAAAGACTAATTGGGCAATGTTTATTTCAAATAGGTAGGTCCGACCCAGTCCAAGCTATATTTATGTTTTTATTTTGATTGAAGCAAAAGCGAGAAACATGTCGCAACAAGTTGTGCAGGCCTCTAATAAAACAACGCCCAGCATTTGACAAGTAAAGCTTTTTATTTGTTTGTTTGGGAGCTTGTGTTATTTTTTTTATATAGAATATATACAGTAAAGAGCATAAAGCCGTGGTCGTTATAAACGTTTTATAAATATACATTTCTATAAATCAAAAAGGGTTTATGAGTTAAAATTGATCAATCCAAAAATGTTATTGTGACATGAGCGTTAGTTCTAGTTTGTTGAATAAAAAAGATTAAGCTATCCTCGGGGGCGGAGCTATGTCACGGACGTTCTACGTTGCTAAGACGCGCACCACTGTACCACGTATTTCTATGGGCTCTGTGTGCGCGCTGCTGTGGAACGCCGGTCGAGCCGATGAAAACTCGAGAAAACAACTTGAACACAAACTCGACTTTGAAGTAATCCTGAACAACCAAAGTCATATATGTTACACACGTAGGTAGGGCTAATCTTGTTACACTGTTCAGGGGACTCTCAACAACCATCGCAAAGTACCGTTTTCTGCGAGTTTTTGGTCTTTGTTTTCACTGCGAGGGTTGCCAGGCGGTAGAAAATGCCCGGATGTCCGCCCCCCCCCCCCGAGAATAGATACAGGTTCGTTTGCACTTGGAATGGACAGTGAATAGTGAAACATGCTAAAAAAAAAACGATTTTAAAATTTAGAAAACAAGCAATTTTTGAAATCTTATTTGAACACGTGCAAAATGTATAAGGTTGTACATAAATAGTGGTTAAATAAAAATGATGACTAAATCTTCACATTGTGCACTGTATATACTTTATTACGAAACGATAATAAGTTTAAATTTGGGACTTTCACAACCATTTTAATTAATATGAGCATCTGCAAAAATTCTTTCTCAATGAATAGTTATGGTTTGGTACGTTTTCGGACAGCCACAACCTCATTACTTAGACCGGGTTAAACTTTAAGCCGGTCCTCTTTCCTTTCGAGCGCAGATTTGTCACGCCAGAAGTGTCCAACATGGCGGACCTTAGACTTTCTTGCAGTCTGTTGCGATTCCGATGAAAAATATAAATTGCGTAAACGAAGGAGGAAAGCGAAATTGCTGTGGTCGGTAGAACGTGAGGGCGCTTACAGTAACGGCAAGTCTGTTGGGATTTCGCCGCAGCGGTCACAGGAATTTCGCGTTCACCCGTCGTTTACCCAATCTGTACAGTAACCAGAAAAGTGTACGTGTTAGTTCCACTGTTAAAAACAACAGCAATGCAAATTCAGATTACAGTCTCTATAACGTTATTAATTTATACGACTGTACTATTTAGGGAAACAAACAGATCGGCACCAGACAAACACACTTGCGACGTAATTCGCAGTGAATCTATGTAATTAACAACCATATAAAAAGTTGTGATTTTCTGACTTTAAATAGTTTTACTACACAATAAAGACAAAAGTGAGCAATGATTTCATTAATTTGTACTTCATTGTGTGGTAGTTGGACGCTTGAATAACGATAATTGTTGACTGTTGACGACATGTCATTCGACAAAATGGACAGTTGAATGAAAATCGGCGACATGGGCGTCACCTATTCGGGTTCTATAGAACCTCAGACTGTACACAGAGTGTTAGTACCTTCCATGGACTGTATTACTAGTCTGAGATAGAACGAAACACAAATAGTTTGGGGGTCATGCAAAAATCGAAAGACTTTCACTTTCGGCCACTGCAATCCTTACAATCCGCCCGCCGAAGACTCAACTTTCTTTTCATTTGTGCTGTCGTGCTCTCCATTCCAATATCTCTGGAACGAGCTGCAATCTTTTCTTGTGCAATGATGTCTTTGGAAGTATTGTTAGAATCCCTTGAATTTGGTCTTCCTTTCATGGACCGGATTTGCTTATTTAGTAAAAGCAAAGACACTAGAAAATTTCTATTTTTTAGTGTTTTAGCTCCGCTGTCGACTTTGTCGAGCGGAGCTTATCATATGAGTGATTGTCCGTCGTCGTCGTCCGTGTCAATGTTTTATATTTTTTACTTCTTCTTGAAAACTACAAGCCTGAATGCTTTGATACTTAGTGTGTATGTTCCTTGGCTAGACCTCTCTCAGATTTGTTCATTATTTTCATGATGATATCTTCAATTCTCTAATTTTGGTGAATATTTTTGTCATTTTTGGTAAAAAGTGATATTTTCAACTTCTTGTTAAAAACCGCAAGTCCAATTGCTTTGATATTACATATATAGGTACTACATGTGGATCTCTCTCAGATTTGTTCATTTTGTAATGATATCTTTAATTCTCTAATTTTGGTGAATATTTTTGTCATTTTTGGTGAAAAGTGATATGTTCGACTTCTTGTTAAAAACCGCAAGTCCAATTGCTTTGATATTACATATATAGGTACTACATGTGGACCTCTCTCAGATTTGTTCATTTTGTAATGATATTTTTAATTCTCTAATTTTGGTGAATATTTTTGTCATGTTTGGTAAAAAGTGATATTTTCGACTTCTTGTTGAAAACCGCAAGTCCCATTGTTTTTATATTACATATATATAGGTACTACATGTGGATCTCTTTCAGATTTGTTAATTCCGTGGTAATATCTTCAATTATCTAATTTTGATGATTATTTTTGTCATTTTTGGTGAAAAGTTATATTTTTGAATTCTTGTTGAAAACAGCAAGTCCCATTGCTTTGATACTATACATATTGTTCATTTTCTGATGATATTTCCTGTTCTTTAATTTAAATTTGCATTGCTAACAGCGGAGCTATCTCAGCCGACTGGCTGCTTGTTTGTTGTTTTTTTGGTCAAAGATAGTGACAGATGCCCTGTTAGTCACCATTGTTTATGTGGGAGGTTAGTACACATTATATACTTACAATATTGAGTAAATAAATCACTATAAATTTTGGAATTTGAATACTTCATGGGAGCTAGAAAGACCCCAATGAAGAAAACCAATGGAGCTCCATGATTGATTGACTGGGAAAGTTAACTATTCAGTGATACAACAGATTTTGACTGATTTTTGCCAAAAGAACGCGTTTTGCACCATAATGTCAACATAGTTACGAGGGATAAACACGACGATGTATATTTCTCCATTCTCCGGCGCCCGTAAGATTTAAGGAAATCATACATTTAGCTACGCGAACCTTACAAGAAACTGATCTACAAGAGTTTTAGCGGATTACTAGACATGCTTATTGCATAGACCAGTTTGTTAGTTTGAAAAGATGACGGGTCCGCTTTCGGTATGTCAGTACTAATTATTCTCGTATATATGCATGTAGTACAGTCAAGAGACTGAGTCTGAGCATGGTATTAAAAAGAGATTAGCTCCGTGGTCCGTCTAAGGTTACATCTTAATCCTGTGATTTTCGACACCCCGTGACACAAATATCACATGCTCGGACAACTAATTAGTTGGGTTACAAGTTACACTGGTTTTCCACTCGTTCGAAAATTGTATATGTAGTTCAATAGTGTGTCTATTTTACTGTTGTATGTTAGTCTGTAAAATATAAGTTTGCATACTAAGATGACAGATATTCAATCTCAGGGTGTTTATTGAGAACTATGACTGAAACCCACAGACATTTGAAAACAGCGTCATGCAATTTCTGTCTGAGACAAAAAATAATCCAACTTCATGGGTGTGACGTGGCTGTCTGCAAGCCTAAGGAACATAACTCCAGGCCGTAAGAGCATGGAGCTAAACACCTTCATGGTAAGACGAAAGAGGGTATTATTAATACAGAGGTCCTGACTTGGCATATTTCATCACGGATCGCAGTTATCTGTTCCTTATAATTACAATCTGTACTATCATGGAGGGAAAAGGCATGGTAATATTAAAGCGGGGGAGTGTAATTGTTTACAAACAAGCGTCTACCCATGGCCCTTGCGTTCTTAGCGTGTAATTGCAGGTATGAGAAATGTCTTCAACACGAATTCCAATACAAAAACTATGACATTTGGAAACGCATTAGGCCACGGTTATTACTTTTCAGTATGGCCGGGATTATTAGGCAGTTTTAAAACAGTATGTTTGTACACAGTCCAGGACTGTGGTTTGTAGTAGTGAGCTTTAACTTAAAGTTTCTTCACCCCCCCCCCCGTCCGATTGTAGAGTCAGTTTCGATACTATAGATGGCGCTGTTTACGAAAGTTCGTTATTTGGTTTCATCTTCTTCTCACGAAGATGGTTTCTACGTCGATAAAACTAGAGTAATCGTTACTATATTGTGAGTAGCAAGTCGCCGACCACCATTATAATATCAGATGATGTGAACAGTCAGAGAAAAATTAACATTAGTTTAATCATCAACTTTAGCTACATTTTTATACATATCAGATTACTGAAATAAGCCGAGAAGATGATGATATCCTATTGTTTTTGACTACTAATATTGAAAGCAAATGTATTTGAACATTTTCCGTGACGTCAGGGTAACTGTGTTATCATGTCTTCAACTGTTTTCATTAGTGCATTCAGTTGGTAGTACTCCGCTTCATTTTTGATTTCTTTCAATGTCTGTACGTCCTCTGGCAGTGTGCCCTCCTTGACCTCTCCTTCACGCAGATAATTCAGAATAAGCCTAAAATGGGTGCCGTCTCTGTCAATGAAGTAACTCCCATCGTCCTCTGTTTTCAATGGGTGACGTCCGCTAAACATAACAGCCAGCATCGACTCGGAGTCCTTTAGAAGAGTTGTTATCGACGTCTTGAAAAGGCTGCCCCCTACGTCTAGTGTGATCCTGCTCTTCTGTATTCTGTTAATTTCTTCCATATTCTTCTTCTCGATGTCCAGCTCCTCTGCCATTTTATCAACTACATCCTTCCTCGCCGTCAGCTCTTTCTCACGTTTCCGGCACTCCTCTCGGAACTCCCGCCTCTCTTTTCGGTACTGCTCGTCCTTCTCCTTGACTTTCTGGGCGAATTCTGCTTTATCGTCATTCAGTTTCTTCCACTCGCACTCAAGATTGTCCGATTTCTTTCTGAAGTCGGACTCCAGCCCTCTAAGCGTCTTGTCTCGATCCCTCAGCTCTTCATCGCGCTCCGCCAGAGACCGTTCCTCTTCTTCAAACCGTAGCTTGGCCTGGTCTACGAATCGTTGGAAGTTTGCCGTCAGCATGTCTTCTTCTTTTTGGTACTGAGATTGCTTAACCTGTAGAAACGTCGTGAAATCCCCTTGTAGGCCGTCCACCACATTGGCCAATTTATCTGTAACAAAAAATGATACTGTACAATTTATTCTGATGAAAAGACTGTTTATTTATTTTTAAATATCTGATTGTTCTGAAGTGAATGGGTCTCCGTCGGCCATTTGACGTGAACTAGGCAAGATTTCCATTCTCTGACCCTCGCTTATATATATATATATATAGTTATTATACACAGTGTCTCGAGCGGTTCGCCCGGGGAGCTCGAACCGAGTCTAGTCGCAAACATACCTCGTTACTACTTTATGACACAAGCAACGAGCGTGAGTGAAAACACAACGTAAAAGAAACAAATGTTTACCAGTATGTACAGTTTCATCCCTTTTGTACTTTAGTAGACAACTTTCTGTGTATCCTCCAGATTTTTCCTTTCTGTGAAATGATTATTTAAAAATATGAGACATATACAATTTCCGAAATTTAATCAATTGCAGTGTTTAAGTTCCAATATAATATAACTATCCCAAAAAGAGCATCAAGACAATATTAAACAAAATCAAGCAAATCAAATTTCGTGTTGCATCACTATTTTCACACTGAGACACATTACGCTTGCTTTCTGTGTTCCAAATTTGCACACGTCTCCTACATTGTAAGGGCGCCCTCGTTATATTATATTACACCACGGTTACTAAAAAAAGATTTGTTACCGTGATTACACTTTCCCCGAGCGACTCTTACCTTGTCCAACCGCCACTGGGAGTACGTTCTTCGATTAAAATGACCTAGGGGATAAACCAAATTACCAGTGAATGAATAAAAACCAATTGAGCTGTATGAAACGTGCGCGATGATTCAGAGAGGATTACATTCAGTTACATTGCACGGTATATTTTACCTGGCCTTGATACAGACTCGCTTCGTGAAGTGTGGCGTCTTGGTCTCGTAGTTGTTCATAGGTGTTGGACATGAACTTATTCCATAATCGCGTCTCCTTGTTTGAATCGATCTTGTACATTTTTCTCACTTTCCAGTGTATGTACCCTAATATGGGAACAGAAACACTGAAGTTCATGAATAATACGCAGAGTGTCAACACATTAGTGTTCCCCAGCCTATTCAATTTATTACAAGTATTACATGTTTTCTGAAAGTGTTACTAGTAAGGGTACTCTCGAAATATATAAATCGACCACAAAAACTGCCATACAATATATTCTTTTCATGTAAAATCTTTTCAATGTCAACTCATTTCATATTGTTTATTCATATAGCGCAGAATAGAAAATATATTACCAGTATATTGTTTGTGTATATTTGTAACATAAATTAAAGCGGGAGGGTCGTCACCTGCGCACGCGCGGGAATAGTCTGGTTCCCTGCCCAAGTTTTCACCGCCCTCAGCGTTGAAATGGGGCAGGGAACCAGACTAGCGCGGGAATTGAGTCTCAAGCGACACACACTAAAAATGCAAAGGCTCACGGGTAGATGCTTGTTTGTAAACAATGACACGCTATGGCCATCTGACACATGCGCAGGTGACGACTCCCCCACTTTATCTACTAGTATGCAGTACTACTTTTTTAGACAATAACAAGTTTTGGAATTGTTGTATCTGTTTAGTTTTTCACGGTTCAATAACAATAAAAATAACGTGTAACACAAATTATATTGACCAGGTAGTTATGGAAGTATCAAAACAATTTGCATTTATAAACACTCACAAAAATCACCTTTAACCACGGCGTGCTTTAACCACATCCATGGGTAGCTTTTACATTGGTTTGGCCACAGTCAATCTACTAGTAGAGTGACTATGGTTTGGCGAAATAAAAAAGAAACACAATTCACTTACCTATTTTATCAGTTCTACTGAACTCATCTTTCATTCCTTTTCCAGGCTGGGATAGTAAGCCCAGATAAAAATCCATTAGATATAGTTCGACTTTGAACGTTTTTGAGAAGACCCCTTGTTTTATAATTTTTCTTTCCAGTGGCTGCTGATTGACTGTTACCCCATACCAAGCGCTCAATCTATCCCATGCTGCACTGGGAACAGCCACGAAGTCCAGTTCCTCAACAATATTCTTTTTCAGTTTTCCATCTTCTGTTATTGAAATAGAAAAATAAGTAAGTTAGGGTGGCCTGCAACTATTTTCATCATTTCCACATTTGTGTGTTTTTATTCGTATGTTATTGTCTATATGAATGGCGCATTGCAATATATTTAATGTATCTATGTAATTTCATATCAACCATTTAAATCGAGATCAGTATTCGTGGGTTGAGCTTGTTGCTGGAAGCAGCACGGTTGACTGCGCCCACAGTGGCGTGTGTACTCTTTCCCCGGATTACCACATTCTTGTTTTAAGTGTCAAGGGAGCGGTAAAAGGGGAAACATGCACACACATTGTAAATGTCTACCAATGTTTAGATAGCCGGCCCGTTAAAAGGTAGTGAGACACGTCATTGTTTAAGTAGCCCATTAAGAAAAAGTATGCGAGGCGCTGTAGCCGTTGGCGGCGTCTCTGTTTCCCAATATTCCACGTGTGCATATATTACCTCGTAGTATTGGTGAATTATCAATACATCCGGGATATCCACCAAACCCAGTTCTACCATGGTCGTCAAAACCAACATATTTCTTCCATGCCGATAACCATTTAGTTGAAATTAAATACCTGTAAAGATATATGAATATGGAATTGATTGATTGATTGATTGATTGATTGATTGATTGATTGATTGATTTGATTTGATCAAATCAAATCAAATCAAATCAAATCAAATCAAATCAAATCAATGCTACGTAATGTTATTACGTGTACCCAATGTTTAAGTACTCGCGTGTTACAACACATACTTTACAGAAATTGACTGACATGGATGCCCCCCCCCCAACGAAATGAGCATACACTGAAATCATGCATGGTAACCGGGTCACCGTTATCGTTATGACTATTTCACTTATATCGGTATGAAACAGTGAATTAATTTAATTTTTTTAAATTGAAATCGAATTCTAGAATAATTCAAAATATATAGACGATATGCCCCAGTTTAAACAAAGACATTAGAAAAATAAGAGTCAGCTATAAATGGGTTACCCAACGTTCTATAACAAATTCAGTACTGGTTTATACGCATCGACCAAGAAAGTGTCCGTAGTTAGACTATCTTACTTACCACGACTCACCTTCCCGTAATTCAGTTTTTAAAAGCGGTGCAATTTCTTCCCTTTGCTGGACCAGTGACGAGCAGAGAGACTTGCGCCGCGATGGTGCTGCCATGTTACAACACGTTACCCACAGCTTGAATCAGTTCGTGTCGCTTTACGGTGAAGTCTTCGTTCCGTTCAGGGTCAGTTTTGTGATTCCGTCTCGTGCCAGACTCTTGATAAATAGACTTATAGGCTTAACCTGGAATTTTTCAGTCGATTGAATTTAAAAAAGGGATGTTTACAGTGTATATTTTAAAACGGAACTGGACTTTGAGCGCCGTATACGAGAGGCAAGGCGAGCCGAGACGACTGGCAAGTGCCGGGGCAACGGGTGGACTTTGCTCATAACTATCCCAGTAAATATATGTAACATTATAAGGTCTCTCTCGGTCACTGCTTTGAAAACAAAATATACTTTCGCTAAAACACGAAATGACAAAACAACCAATTGATTTCTTTATGATTCACAGTTCCGCCTCGTGAAGTTGAATTATGTGGGACGGCAGGCAGTCAACTATTGTGACTACACGATTTCTTTATCAGCATTCCCACCTGTTGTTGCAATCGAACTGCATCGCTTCTCGAATGTGTTAGGTCATTCCCGTGAGATTACTCGGGATCGGCCGCGTTGAATGTGGTGTATGGCGTTCAGGGGCAAGTGTGATACTTATTCATGTCAAAGTGGCAATTATTGGTTATTGCTTCCTTGATATCGTTTCTTTTAGCATATAGTTTTTTTTTTCCAAAAGCCCATCGCATAAATAATGATGTACTCCTTAACAACATTTTATTTGGGCACTTTGAAATAATACAACTTGTCGTAAAAACTTCGTCCGGTTTCCCTACATCAGACACAAATAAGGGTGTGACGTAGCCGAGAAATGTCATATCCTGTGTATGTTGTTGTTCAAATAAGTTAGTCCCGTGTCACAATTTGTGTATGTGTTCATGTGCTGGAGTAATACACATTAATATTATAAACAGCAAAATCAATGTTTTGTTGCTGTTGTTGTTGCTGGTGATAGGTGGCATGAGGTACTGTTGTGTACGAGTTACTGTTGAGAGATTGTGTGGGATACGGACTACTGTTGAGAAATGACATGGGATACGAGTTACTGTTGAGAGATGGCATAAGATACAGGTTACTGTTGAGAGATGACATGGGATACGAGTTACTGTTGAGAGATGACATGCGATACGAGTTACTGTTGAGAGATGGCATACGATACGGGTTACTGTTGGGGGATGGCATGGGATACGAGTTACTGTTGAGAGATGGTATAAGATACGGGTTACTGTTGGGGGATGGCATGGGATACGAGTTACTATTGAGAGATGGCATGAGATACGAGTTACTGTTGAGAGATGGCATGGGATACGGGTTACTGTTGAGAGATGACATGGGATACGAGTTACTGTTGAGAGATGGCATAAGATACGAGTTACTGTTGAGAGATGGCATAAGATACACGTTGCTGTTGAGAGATGACATGGGATACGAGTTACTGTTGAGAGATGACATGGGATACGAGTTACTGTTGAGAGATGGCATGCGATATGAGTTACTGTTGAGAGATGACATGGGATACGAGTTACTGTTGTGAGATGGCATGGGATATGAGTTACTGTTGAGAGATGGCATAAGATACGGGTTACTGTTGAGAGATGGCATAAGATACGAGTTACTGTTGAGAGATGGCACAAGATACGGGTTAGTGTTGAGAGATGGTATGGGATATGAGTTACTGTTGAGAGATGGCATGGGATACGAGTTGCTGTTGAGAGATGACATGGGATACGAGTTACTGTTGAGAAATGACATGGGATACGAGTTACTGTTGAGAAATGACATGGGATACGAGTTACTGTTGAGAGATGGCATGGGATACGAGTTGCTGTTGAGAGATGGCATGGGATACGAGTTGCTGTTGAGAGATGACATGGGATACGAGTTACTGTTGAGAGATGACATGGGATACGGGTTACTGTTGAGAGATGACATGGGATATGAGTTACTGTTGAGAGATGGCATAAGATACGGGTTGCTGTTGAGAGATGACATGGGATACGAGTTACTGTTGAGAGATGACATGGGATACGAGTTACTGTTGAGAGATGGCATGTGATATGAGTGTGAGTTACTGTTGAGAGATGACATGGGATACGAGTTACTGTTGAGAGATGGCATGGGATACGAGTTACTGTTGAGAGATGACATGGGATACGAGTTACTGTTGAGAGATGGCATGGGATATGAGTGTGAGTTACTGTTGAGAGATGACATGGGATACGAGTTACTGTTGAGAGATGGTATAAGATACGGGTTACTGTTGGGGGATAGCATGGGATACGAGTTACTATTGAGAGATGGCATAAGATACGAGTTACTGTTGAGAGATGGCATGGGATACGGGTTACTGTTGAGAGATGACATGGGATACGGGTTACTGTTGAGAGATGACATGGGATACGAGTTACTGTTGTGAGATGGCATGGGATACGAGTTACTATTGAGAGATGGCATAAGATAAGGGTTACTGTTGGGGGATAGCATGGGATACGAGTTACTATTGAGAGATGGCATAAGATACGAGT